TTCAACAGAATGTTCTAACCTGCGTTATGCTTGACAGGGCGGGCTGTTGCCCACCAATCGCTCGCTTGTCGCTCAAGCGATAGGGATTCCCGAATTTGCATTTTAAAGCATTTTGGACTCCTATTTAACTACAATTTGCTTTGAAGAATTTTATATATATAAGCCACGACTAGTAATTTTCCCACATCATTCATACAATATCGTGAGAGCTTTAGACATTAATTGAGAGCATTGAGATTTTGTTGTAAATAAAATTGCTATTGATTGTAGTGGATTTCTCCTTTTCTGCCTGTGATTTTTTTAGTCTTGGGTTTCCACGCAAATCTTGGTGTTCTTAATCTTGCTCTTATTTATTTTATTATAGTCATAATCCTTTTGGTCAAATTCATAACAAGTGGTATCAGAACAAATGTTGATTGTTCTACGTGGCAAAGATAAAGTATGATATTTTGTTATTTGATCAAAAAATGAGATTTACTTTATGGGAAGTGAATAAGTGAGTCGGTCCACACACATGGATTTGGAGGAAGCTTTACTTTGCTTTGATAATATACATTCAACCTAGAAAGCAGGATTAAAAGAAGCATAGGGATCGAAATGCCCAATCCTAAATTCATCTACATCTATCAAAATAAACTCTTCAGGATGTTTTCAAGGAGAAAAGTGCCACTGTGTTATAGTTGAAGTTGGAGCAACTTTGTACAACAAAGAGTTTGATGAACAAGCTACACTTGAAACATTGCTTATATTCTCATTGAATGTCTGAACGTGCATCATTGGATATCACTTAACTATGTTTAAAGAAATCATGGCTGATTTGGAGATATTGGCTAGTACTTTCCATATATGTCCCAAGAGGGACTGATTTACAACTTGTGAAGGAGTTTCGAGAGGTGCAGTGATTATGGAAAACAACGCACCTTACAAAATAGTCGAAGTTGGTACAATCAAAATTAAATGTTTGAAGGTGTTATCAAAACACTTATAGACATCAGAGACGTTCTAGAACTGAAGCGAAATCTCATTTCTTCGAGTACACTTGATTCAAAGGGTTATAATTACACTGGCGAAAGTGGAATTTTGAAGGTGAGCCATCATGAAAAGACAAAAACTCAACACAGTTGTATATTTTACAAGGTTCCACGATTACAGGAGATACATCAGTATCTATTTCTTCATTGAATGATGAGAAAGTTACAAAACTTTGGCATATGAGTAAGAACGATATGATAGAATTGAGTACAAGGGGGCTTCTTGATGGGCAGAAAACTAGTAAGTTGAAGTTTTGTGAGCATTGTGTCTTTGGGAAACAAAAAAGAGTCAGCTTTACTACTAGAAGAAATAATACAAAGTAAACACTTGAATATATCCATTCAAATCTTTAGAGACGACCAGTGTACCTTCGAGGAGAGGTGTTTAATATCTATTAACAGTGACTGATGATTTCTCTAGGAAAGTTTGGGTATTATTCTTAAAACAGAAGAGTGATATTTTGGGACCTTCAAGGAATGGAAAACAATGATAGAAAAGCATATTTGAAAACAAATTAAACGTCTACGTACAGATAATAGGCTAGAGCTCGGTTCAGAAGAATTCAATAATTTCTGCAGGGTTGAAGGCATCTTGAGACACTTGATAGTACCTGAAACTCCTCAATAGAATGATTTGATAGAACAGATGAATTAAACTTTGATGGAAAAGGTTCGTTGTATGCTTTCAAATTCTGGACTGCTTAAGATTTTTTGGGCTCCACAGTTTGTTTTCTAATTAATCGCTCACCCTTAACTCGTATTGAGAAAAAGACACCATAAGTGGTATGGTCTAAAATACCTTCTTGTTATATTGATTTGAATATTTTTGGATGTCCTGCTATGCTTATATGGATAATAGGAAGTTGGAGTCTAAGTCTAGAAAGTGCGTCTTTCTTGGGTATAATTCAATTGTGAAAGAGTATAAATGGTGGTGTTCTACGATAAGAAATGTAGTGGTTAATAAAGATGCAGTATTTAATGAACTTACTATCGTTCATGATTTATCTTGTAGGGATTCTGATAAAAATAAGGAATAGAATCATTCAACTCAGTGGAGTTGAAAATTGGTCCAGGGGAACAATTGGAGGTTTCAGAATAGTCCAGCTTAGAATTGACACATAGTGATACTTCGCCTACTTTGCTTGCACTATTAGCAAAACCACAATACTCAATTGCTAAGGTTAGACCTTTCGGATAGATTAGACCTCGACAGTAGAATGGAGAAGCAGACATGGTAGCATATGCTTTGAATATGACTGAAGAAATTGATTCCACTAAGGATATTACAACATATACAGAGACAATCAGTTGTAGTGATTCTAGCAGATGGTTGATTGCTATACAGGAGGAGATTGAGTCATCGTATAAAAATTGTACTTAGAATTACCTAAGGATAAAAGGGTTGTTTGCTGTAAGTAGGTGTTCAAAAAGAAAGAAGAGACAATAGTACAAAAGGTTCGATTCATTTATGACTACTAATAGTTTCAACAGAAATAATTATGACCGTTGAGTGTACTTCAGAAAGGAAGATGGTAGATCGATCATTTGCAACAAAAGATAAAGTAGAGGTCAAAAATATAAAATCTCAACTTAGTAAGGAGTTCGAGATGAAGGATTTGGATGCACCGAATTATGGAAGTCTTAAGGGATGGAAAGATTTGTAGATTGTATTTGAGTCAGATGGGTTACATTGAAAAGGTTCTTCAAAGTTTCAATATGCTAAATGCTAAGGTAGTTAGTACTCTGTGGCCGCCACTTCAAATTATCATATGGATTGTGTCCTCAATGAGATGAAGACATTGATTATATGTTTCGGTTCCTTATTCTAGTGCATTTAGTTCACTAATGTATACATGGAAAATCTCGGCAGGAACACTGAAGGGAGATCTTGATAAAAGAAAATCAATTACAAGGTACATGTTTGCCTTTAGAGGCTGTGCTATCATCTAGAAAGCTACTTTGTAAAATACAATAGATTTATCTACAACAAAGGCAGAATATACGACCATTACAAACGTACGTAAGGACACTATGCGGTTAAAGGATTTGGATTGGTGAGATCAATGAAGACTTTCAGATTTCTATAATACATTTTGATAATCAAAGTGCTGTATTTTGACCAAAGATCAAGTGTTACATGAGAGGACCAAGCAAATTGATGTGAGGTATCATTTTGTGCATGAAGTGATTGCTCATGTGACATCTTAGTGAGCAAAGTTGATATCAAGGGTAATCATGCTGATATAATCACAAAACCACTTCCCACTGCTAAGTTTGAGGATTGCTTGAACTTGGTGTTTTTCGTTAATTTAGTCCATTGAGGCTTTTACCAACAAAATTCATGGCTTCAGCGATAGATTTTGCTGTCGCTAAAGCCACATTTTTTGGTAGTTATATTAAAAAAGTTATATGTCGATTTAGATATGATGGACCAAGCAAATAAAAGATATATAAAGTGTAGAAAGGAGAAAATATATGCTTAAGGTAATGTTTAGTTGCATTTTTTTCTTTTATAATATGACAAAAATAAATAATATAAACAAACACTGAATTGTTATATTTTTTTATAGAAATACTTTTATAAATATTAAACATTGTTTTATTAGGTTTTTTCTTTATGTTTATTAATTAATTTAAAGACGGGTTGTATTTTATATTGTGCACAAGATACTCATAATTATGGGACGGGCTTGCATCACTATAATGGGAACTTTTGATGGTATATAAATGCCGAAAATTTTAACGATGTGAGTCAACTTTAACATGATGATAAAGTATGTAAACATCTTTAAAAAAATCTAAGATGGAATTACAAGTCTAAGGAGTGCACTAAACTTGCACTTTTAATTTTTATTTCAATTTGAAATTTTTGTCATACAAACAATATTTCTAGCATTTTGAATATTTTAAAAGAGTGTGCATGAAGGCTTATCGATAAATAATATACAGTAATCTAATGCAACTTTGTCCAATTGGACAAGAATTTCAAAATTTTAAGTGTTTTCTCACTTTGAGTCATTAATCTCATGTATCATGTCATTTCTATTCAATTTTAATAATGATATTAGATGGAGTAAAGAAAGTAGAAAATCCTACTTTTTAGCCACATTTTAAAGTACACTGAAGTTACTTATCTGAAAACAACCTTTTTAAAGTTGATTTTTATGTCCAACAAACACAACTAAACACGTAGTACAGAAAAATGGGCACAAATTGAAAATATAGTACAAAATACGGATGCAGAAAATGAAATATTACAAAACAGACCTCAGCTAGAAACATCCTAATCTAAGACAACAAGAAAGGATGAGGAACACTTTACAAGAAATATTATCAGGATCCTTCATCAAACAAATTTCAGAATCCAAATAATATTATAAATATTCATTCATAGTATCTATAGCTTAAATCATATATCCTGCTATGCTATTCGAAGCAAAATTAAAAGAAATATTTATCCAGCTCGGGACATTTCATTTAAATTCTGAAAGAGAGGCAATGCATGGAGGATGAATTTCAAATACTGCGAATGAGTCTATCCTTGAAAGGGAATTAAGGTGCCATTTGCATGCAACCAAAACTTGTCCTATAGATTTCTTGATGAGGCAAATATATCATCACTGGTCTTTCCATGCGTCATTGAGTCATTTATGAGATTAGATACAACATATATTCCACAATTAGCACTTTCATCGTAATTTCGTTTTTAAATTTTCGCACTAGAACTTGTGAGAAGATCTTGCGAGAGGGAGGAGAGAGAATCGACCTTTTTCAATAGAGAATTCTCATCCAAAAAGGTCGTAATTTGGGTGACACTAAGTAAATCTTGTTTAATGTTTTCCATTACATCCCAAAATTCTGGTGTCTTGTTTGAAGGCACAAATCCAGTAGTTAGTTGTTCTGAAATACAGCTTCCAGTGTGGTTTTCTAGATCACCCATTGACATAGATGGATGGAGACTTGATACTTTCAGTTGTTCGCAGCTTCTTTGCTGCAAATAACCGTGTCCTTCACAAGTTTCGCTTTATTCAATTGCACCTGTAGCCATCACTAGTAACAGTAGACAATGTGATTAGTCAATTTTTGGTCGAAAATGATTTGAAAATTACAACTACAACTAATTAATTTGCAACATCAACATTCATCAATGCATCCTATGTGGAGAAAAGCTGATAAGTAATTTGTTACTCATAATGAGTGCTTAGATTTTATTATCTTTATAGTAATTATTCAAAAATTAGCTTCACTGGAGAGGTTCTATCACATTGAAGATGAGCAATATTGTACTTGAGTTGGAGGACAAGGTTTCATCAGGCACTTGTCCAGCAGTCACAGGATTAGGATTCTGTCTGGAAGTTAAAGGAGGTGATTGTGTGGTAGCTGCTAATTCTACATCCTGGAAGCTAGAGGGAGAATATCCTTGAGCGGCAACCATTTGATCAAATTCACGACCTCTTGATTCTTCCGGATTTTCAAAAGTAGAAGCATGTGCTTCAAAATATGGTGAATCCATAACTATCTCGAGTTGTTGGCTCAAAATATAAAGACACCTGTCACACTGGATCAACTTTTCATAGTTCTTGTTTAACATACCTGGAGAGCATTTTAGAAAATGCTTCCTGTTCACACAACATCAAAGGTTTAGTCAAAAACCAGGACCAAAATTTTCAGGATCTAAAAATTATTCAGTTAAGTAATTATAAGGACTATAGTAGAAGGGAAATGCTATGCGTACACCTCATGATGTACAAAATGGGTTGCCCCCCTTACATGGAGGAGGCCCACGAATATTTTATTGTATGTGGGCCGTGTACACAATCCTGTACGCATAGCATTTCCCATAGTAGAAACCTAACGATTTTAACATGAAATTTCAATTGAATGAAAAACATATCTATGAAATAGAACACTATCACTTACCTATATTTGCTAGCCTCTCCACCAATGAAGTCAGAAGTTGGCTTCCAAATAGTACGTTTTCTGGGTTGTGGATTGGTCTCTTTGAAGAAGATGGGTGCCCTAGCCAACTGCACCAATGAAAGATTAAAGGTAACGTAAAATGACAAGCCACTTATAAATGGCAGTTGGAATACATTTTATTCATAGAATGAAAAAAGATCAAACAATTACCACTATAGTTAATGTGCTAGGGCCATTATCACTGTAAGTTGCCTTCAGAGCTATAATATCAGACCACAGAATTTCAATTTTACTCTTGAGACCACCTTCAAGAACCTCCCACACAAGTTTTTACTTTGTAAAGTAACACTTCGCCACCAGAGCATTTTGAAAACTTGACACATACTGCCAAAGGTATCATATAAGTAACATTATCTAAATGTAACAGTTGTCTATTCACTTATAGAAGCTTCTTTCTCCTGTTAGATATCACATTTGTTTTTCCCCTAATAGTTCATTTAGTTAGGATTAGTACATGTTTGTGAGAGAAAGTAATTGCTTATAAGCAATGGGTCCCAAATGATGAATGGTGAAAAAGATGAAGTTATGATTAATGTGTGCATAACAATAGAGCTTAACCAATTTATAAGTAATTATAAGTTTTGAGAAACATGCACTTAATCAAGTATAGTCAACTCATTGCATGTACATTTTAGTAGACCGCGGGAAACTCTAGTTTCTTAGCTTAAGGAGTATGATTTTGAAAAAAAATAAAAATTATTGTTGCAATGCTAAGCTTCAATCAAGTTGATTTGTTCCCTAAAATTGATTTCATACTAATCACCTGTGATTGGTTAGTGAAATACATTCTTGAAATACGATTCTCTGACTATGACATGATGTCAAAAGTTGATACCTGCCAACTACCAATCCTCAATAGTGATGATGGAAAATTACAAGCCATTAACTTGTCATTTGCACCTGAAGTGGTAGTTCTCCTTGCATCTTTTTGGGTTGGCGAGTTGAGATTTTTACTAGATTTCACTGAAAGAGAAGCATTATTTTCCTCAGAGAGCCTCCTCTCGATCAATTCTAATAAAGATTGTGTCTTGTTCAGCCGCAAGCCCAAAGGACTAGGCTCATCAAGTGGATTGCACTGCGACGATGGCATTGAAGATTCATGTTCCTTAGAGCTCCACTGTCATAGGAAAGCCAAAAAGATTTTTTTTTTTTTTTTTTTTTTTTAAAAAAGAAAGGAAAAGATAACAAACAGAACAGATTTTATTAGATTGAAAAGTCAAGCTTAAGATAAAGAAGATTCTTAAGTGTCAATAAAAATAGAAATATCAAGCCAGCTAATTCAAGGACATCTTTGATCATCTTTTACAATTGTCTTTAACTGCATGTATTTCTTTCCACGATAGATGCTCTCAACTCAACCGCTAGCATGAACCGCATGGCTTATTTAATACTAGACACATATCGAAGGTGTAGCACTTGTGAATTTAAAATAAATTAAAGCATAAACATGTACACCTACACCTTATCCCCACGACTTACCTAAAATGTGGAAACTAAAAGTTTACATAATCTAGTTAGTGGTTGCCATTACAATCATCTAAGGTGGTCGTCATTGGTGATCCTCAACACACCTCAGTCATCACTTACAGATCTTCATGCTAGCTATCAACAACTGAAGCACTATTGGTGGCTGTTGGTGATGGTGTTTTAATACGAGGAAGAAATGGTATACAAAATAGATTTTATTATGGAAAAGTCAAGTTCAATATAAGAAAAATTCTTAAAATTTTCAATATAAATAGAGATCTAAGCCAACGAATTTGAGGCTATCTTTGACCATTCATTATAATTGCTGTTTAGTGCACTAGTTGTTGCTACAATAGATGCCCTCAACCCAACCGCTAACATGAAGCAAAACTTATTTAATACAAGACACACTAAGTTTATCACCTTTAATGAAATAAATTAAAGTACACATGTACAGATACCCTCATCCCCACCAATTATCCAAAATGCAGAAACAAAATGTTTCCATATTCACGTCAATGATTATCGATAAAATCACTCATCAGTGATCACCAATGCTCTTAAGTGGTTACCTATAGAGCTTTTTGTCGGTTATCAACAACCAAATCACAATTAATGGTTGCTGACAATGTCATCTATGTATGTTGGTCATCATGGAAGGAGAATCATCTGTGATGATCATTTGTCCATTAACTTTTTATTATTTTTTTCTTAAGGACTCCATCAACCATCTTATCTGAGACTACTCAATTTGATTGAGCCGCTTCTGCTATATAGAAGCCAATTTTTAAAATAATACTTCTTAGAATATCTTTAATTTTCTTATTGTTGTTATACTTTTTTTTTTTTTACTTCTAATTCTATTATTATTATTATTATTTTAAAGAGCACAAAAGGAATACAATCTACCAAAGATTTAAAATAATATTACTGGGGTTCTCCCAATAATTAAAAAGTGTAGCATGCCAAAATCGAACTGAGGTTTGTGATGGTGGAGGAACTGGATCTTAAAAAAGTGTTACGAATTCTAAAGATCAGTTAGAAACTAACAGATAATAATAGTGACTAAATACCCAAAATCAACTATGAAAAAAAAGATTAAAAAACTTCAAAAAATGACCAAAAAGACAAAACCCAAACTTGGTTGACAACAGATGGTTGTTAGCATATCTCCCTAATTATATTGATTGACTCCATGATTTGGTCAATTTCCACGATTTATGTAATTGTATAATTAGAGCATGATTTGTGTAATTGTATAATTAGAGCATGATTTGTGTAATTAGCATTAATTACTTACCTTATGTGCTTGCCTCTTTCACCTATAAAAGGAAGGCTCTTGTACAGTTTATTTATCACAGAATATAGAAGTTATTCACAATTCTACATCTATTCTCTTAGTTTCAACATGGTATCAAAGCCATTTTTGTTTCTTGACCTCTAGTTGGTGCCTTTTTTTTTTTATTTTATTTTACCCATTCCGTCGCTCTGTCACCAATTCTAGCCTTCGTTCATCGATTATTTTGGTATTCTAACACCATAAATCGATCATGTTGCTCCAGAGCTTTCGTTTGGTGCAAAAATATTCCGATCCAACATCGCCACATCTATTGCTACTCGTCGTCATCTTCGACGACCTTCCAGCTAGTTTTTCGTGCTCATTCCATCAGCGCTGTCTTTTTGCTCTAACTCGGTTAACATTATCATTTTTCTCTTATGGCTTCTTCATATGATGTTGCTCGTCCTATAGAGATTGTTTTGAATGGCTCCAACTACAATGCTTGGGTCCAACAAATGTCAGTTTTTCTAATTAGTCGGAGATTATGGCATTTTGTGACTGGAACAAAACAAAAATCCACAAAAACTGACAAGCAATCCATAAAGAAGTTTGATAAGGCCTTTGATAAATGGGAAAGTACTCACTGTAAGATCCTTTCCTGATTTATTAATACATTAGCCCCTTCCATTTAGAGTCTACTCTCTAAGTTCCAGAATGCCAAACTTTCTTGGGATTTTTTGGCGAAACGTTATAACTGTGGTACTGATGCTGCTCTAGAGTTTCAAGTGAAGACAAGTTTTCCCAAATGCGTTAGGAACCCGGACAGTCTATCGCTGAGTTTCATGCTTACATTAGTAGCATTTGGGATCAGCTTTCTCAAGTTGACCCCACTTTTTCTGATGATAATTTGGTTCAGCTTTTCACTGAATATTGTGATCGTTGTAAGTTCATGTATTTTATGATGCATATTCAGAATGAATTTGAGAATACTCGGGCATCTTTGTTCCATCGATCTCTTCTTTCTACACTTGAGGTTGCCCTTACGAAGCTAATTTATGAGGAAACACGACAACAAACTCGTCGGGTTCATTCTACTGATATGGTCTTGGCTACTGCTCCATCTAGCTCATCTACTCCGGCCACTCCTGTTGCAGGTGTTGCTTCTTCTAAATCACAACATTTCAATGGCAAATGCCACTATTGTAAGGAAGATGGCCACCATATTTCTGATTGTCCTAAGAAGAAGGCTAAGGATGCTAGAGATGCTCTTAAGGCTAATGCATCTTACTCTTCCAAGCCTGTTGTTGCTGTGTCCACCACTCCTCGGTTTCTGATTTCTCTTCTGCACCTTCCTTGTCATCACTTTTTGTAGCTGACATTGAGGCAATTATCACCCAGGTCCTATCCGGTACTTCTATTGCTTTATCAGTCTCCACGTGTAACTCTACATCTTGGTTTTTTGATTCTACCTATTGCAATCATATGACCTCTGATTCCTCTTTAGTTATACATAGGAAGTCTTTAAATCCCGTTCCTTGAGGTTATACTGCTGATGGTTAACATTGTCTATTAGTCATTTTGATCACGTTTCTACTCCTACCCTTTTGTATCTGACACAGATGTTGTGCCTGACTTGTCTCTAAATCTCCTTTTTGTTGGTCAACTTGTTGAAAGTGGTTTTATCTTAATCTTTTCTCACAAAGGGTGTGATGTGTAGGATCCGAAGACAAGCTAGCTAGTTGGGGCCGAGCGTAAAGTTGGTCGCCTTTTTAGCTTATATCTTTGCATTTGCCTCGTTCTCGTTTTCCTCAATCTCTTAGTGCTGCTGTGCCTTCCAGCATTTGGCATTCTCGTCTTGGTCATACATCTTTATCTCATGTTTAGTCTTTAACTTCTAGTGGTTGCTTAGGCAATGTTAAATTTGAACATTTTGATTGTGTGTTTTGCCAACTTCGGAAACAAAAAGCTTTACCTTTTAATGAAAGTAATTATTTATCTTCTGCACCTTTTGATTTGGTTCATTCTAATATTTGGGGACCTGTTCCAATCTCTACTAGGGGCGGGTCTCGTTACTTTGTTATTTTTGTCGATGATTATTCTTGGTATACATGAATTTATCTTTTGAATGATCGCACTGGGTTACTTAATGCTTTTCGTGATTTTAAGCAGATGATAAAAATTCAGTTTGATTGCACCATTAAAGTCTTTCAGTCTGATAATGCCATGGAGTATAGTTCAGCCTCTTTTCTTGAAGAACTTCAAGAGGCAAGCACTTTTTCCCATCGATCCTATCCCTATACCTCCCAACAGATGGTCGTGTAGAACCTAAGCATCGTCACATTCTTAACACTGTTCGCTCTCAACTTCTCTCTGCTTTCCTCTCGAAATTCTCTTGGGGAGAAGCTGCCCTTACAGCTATTTACACTATTAATTGAGTTCATATGAGGTTTTCTATAGAAAGGTACTCGATTATTCTCTTCTTAAAGTGTTTGGTTGTGCTTGCTTTGTCTTACTTCCACCTCATGAACGTGCGAAACTTGAACCTCGTTCTCGTCTCTATTGCTTTCTTGGTTATGGGATAGAACACAAGGGTTATCAGTGCTACGACCCCATAGCCAAGCGTCTTCGAGTCTCTCGACATGTTCAGTTTTGGGAACACAAAGTGTTCACTAGTATCTTTCCACTTTCATCAGATTGTCTCTTATACTCTCCCATTTTCACTAACCCTGCCATAGACCTCTTTCCAAATTTTTCCTCTAATGCAGGTCATGTCAACTCATCTGGTGATTACTCCACACCTGCCTCTCAAAAAATTGGATCGTCTGATGATCATGCTATTGCATCCACCCCTCTCGAGTCCTTTGATTTGAATGTTCGTCATTCTAGTAGGGTAAGAACACCTCCTTCCCATCTTAGTGATTAGCATTATTTTTCTACTCTTGACTCTCTTCATGAGCCTCACAATTATCTTGAAGCTTGTTCTGACCCTGTTTGGCAGTAAGCTATGTCTAAAGAACTTGATGCTCTTCATAAAACTCATACTTGGGATCTAGTTGACTTGCCTCCTGGAAAGACTGTAATTGGGAACAAATGGGTGTATAAGAAGAAAATGAACTCCGATGGTTCTAAAGTAAGACAAAAAGCTCGTTTAGTGTCAAAGGGCTTTACTCAGGAGTTTGGCATTGACTACAAGGAAACATTTGCCTCTGTTGCTCGTATTACCTCCGTCCGTTCTCTTTTTGGCTGTTGCCTCTACACGTCGATGGCCTTTATTTCACATGGATGTCAAGAATGCCTTCTTACATGATGATTTGGCTGAGGAGTTCTATATGGAGCCTTCTCCAGGGTATCCTCACCATGTGGGAGAGCAAGAAAAATTACATTTGTATCTTATTTGATGAAAAAATATTCGGATTAAAAAACTTAGATTATCCATATATAGACCTAACAAATAGAAGATATAAAAACAGTGCATAGGAGATATATGCTGAAAGTAATTTTTACTTGCATTTTTCTACCATGATATGACGAAAATAAATAATACAAATAAACAGTGAATTGTTATATTTTGTTATGTAATCCGTTTCTCAAATATTACATATAGTTGTATTAAATTTTTTTCTTTATGTTTATTTATTAATTGAAAGATGGTTTGTACATTAAATTGCACACAGGATACTCAAAATTTTAGAACGGACCTGCATTACTATAATGGGAACTTTTGACGGTACATAAATGGCTAGAATGTTAATGGTGTGAATTATGTTTAACATGTATTAAGTCTATACGACCTACAAGCTAATAATCTAAAAAACCTTTGTTAAACCATATTTT